CTATATGTCACCTGATAGCTTTAGAAAAGCTCTGTAGAATGGTTTCTTAAATTCACTGAGATTACCTTGAAAAAACAAGCTTTCAAGCGTGGTTCTTAATGTACGAATTGCCGAAGACGCCGGTTGGGATGAAATAGCGAGACGGAGGACTTACTGCGCAAATATAAATCCCGTTTGTTAGAACTCGGCGAGCAGAAACGAATGGGCGTATTTCCGAGAATGTAGCACAAAATATGAACGGAATAATCCAGGATTACTACAGAGCACAGAATTATGCGACCGTCTGTTTTATTCGAATTGCCATTGGACACAGATGACAAAAATCTATGTTTATATGTATACCGAATGGATTCCACGAGGATACTCATACCGCTTTTGTACGGTCCACTTAGTGCAGGGAAACGGCAATTGAGCAAACCGGAAATAAGCGTACCAGAACATGAAGAAGGTGAGTTTATGACAAACTCATGTTGATTTCAGGTGCTGCGAATGCAAGGCAAATTTGATCGATGCGAAATCCATGGATTGATCATAAGGGCGGATGCTCAGGTGCAGGAATAGAAGCATGATACGTACGCTCCCATTTGATTACTAATCCAGGCCAATAAGGCATCGTATGTGGTACGTTTGCTTGTGTGCTGAGTAATCTTGCATTTCAGAAATAGATATTGCTTGAGCTCCCCGGTGTGGATGCGCTTGATGTGAATGTTGACAAGGTGCCTACCTGTCTATTACCCACTACCTCGTCCATACTGGCTCCAGGAGACAGTTGGTCGTCGCTGGAGGGGACGAAGTGCACCGCCCTCATGACGGTGCTAGACTTAAAGAGTGGTTCCATCCTGTGTGGAACGGGCTACGGTCCAGCCACCGCCTCGTGTACGTCTGGTGTGTATGATTTCCCAATTAGGCCGGAATGCTTCCGTTCTGCTCGTTGAAGGAGTGTGAGCCGGCTCCGTTGATGAAACGTGGCTCCCATCCGCATGCCTCCCGATCTTATTCCTTCGGGTTTACACCAGATATGGGGTGTGTGGGTGGAACTATGAGTGGTGCAGCGCAAGCCACCCATGGTCCCCTTTGTAGGCGCAGGCGTCCTGTGACTGTCCCCATGGACGTCACAGTGACAGACAAATCCGGATATGGACGCCGCCAAATCATCATGAGTACACATGAGTCAGTGAACTGACCATGTGCTAGACCCGCTGCCTTTCGGGTGTTCATTTAATCGAAGGCCTTGACTGAGGACCCGAGTCGTTCACCTGTCAGGTGTGGGCGCCTTGCCAGTATCCTAGTCCATCCTCTCCGGAGGTTATGGAGTGGTCGATGACCCACTTCCTGTAAAACCTAGCTACGGGAGACAACAGGTCTACGGATTATAAGCTCACAGTTCGATTAGCGTAGAGCACGAGCGCCACGCATTGTCTCTGACGGTGGGATGACACCTCCGGGTGTGCAATGGTTTGCTATTGCCCGCAACAAACCAGGCAACCCCTGGTCAAATTGGTGCAAACCCGCCAAAACCCACCTGTCTTGCCGTGGTCGCAGGTGTATCCTACTACGGTTGCAAAACATATATAAATCGTGCCACCACCTCAAAGCCTGCGTGTGACGGCCGTCAAGCAGATCCCAAGCTGTCTCTGCAATCACATTCCCGAGATGGATCTGCTCCCCACTGCCTTGGGGTCAGACTATTGAGCAAAAGGCCCCGAGATGAGTCCCAAAAGCAAAACTCCTGTGTGATGTGGAATGCATAGCCACACTGGAAAATCTGTGGCACCACATTCGGGACCAAGTGACAGCTGCTGCCGAGGAGACCATCGGGCGCGCAAACTGTAAGCGGCCTGATTGGTTTGATGAGAACAATGCGACGATTGGCGCAGTGGTGTCGGAGGAGAATGCAGCATTTGCTGCACATGTGGCAGACCTCAGTGATTTGAGGAAGAAGTGTAGGTTTCGCAAACTTCGACGGCGACTGACCCGAGAGCTCAGTCGCATTAAATTGCATGGTGGGCAGAGAACGCGATGCATATGGAATGCTACGCCGAACGTCGCCAACACAAGGCAGCGTTTGACTCCTTGAAGGGGGTGTACAGTTCTAGGCGTGGGCCGCGGATGGATGGTAGTTCAGACGCTACCTGCTCAGAGATTGCAGGCATAATGCAAATCTGGCGGAAACACTTTGACTATCTCTTGAACAACCGTTCAGAGATCGACTGGCCTACTTTGAACGGCCTCAAGCAGCACGACGGAAAGACGACTCTGGCGGACACGCCGACACTGGATGAGATGCAGAGAGCACTTGCTCAGCTGCGAAACGGAAAGTGTTCCGGTGCCGAAGGGATCCCGCCTGAGCTATTGAAACACGGCGGACCCTCGGTGGTGACTGCACTGCACCACTTGGTGCAACACCTATGGATTGAGAAGGAGGTGACTCCTGAGCTGAAGGATGCGCCTGTGCTACCACTGTACAAAGACAAAGGGAGCAAACAATGCTGCACGAATTATCGTGGCATCAACTTGCTGAGTTGTGTGGGCAAGGTGATTGCCCGAATCCTGCTCAACCGCCTCGTCAGTCAGGTTGTGGAACCTAATGTGGCGGAAGAGCAGTGTGGATTGCGTTCGGGTCGCTGCACTATGGTTATGGTGTTTGCGGCTCGTCGGTTGCAGGAGAAGTGCAGAGAACGACACCAGACATTGTACTCACTTTTTGTTGATTTCACCAAGGCATTTGATACGGTGAACCGCGAGGCATTGTGGTTGGTGTTGGGTAAGTTTGGTTGCCCGCGTAAGTTTGTAAGTTTAATTGAATGTCTGCACAGTAGTATGCCGTCGAGGGTATAGCTAAGTGGAGAGACCTCGAATGACTTTGCAGTTATCTCTGGTGTGTAGCAAGACTGTGTCTTAGCTACTGCCGTGTTTAGTATTTATCTTCATGCAATGATGTCTTTTGCTTACGGTGTTCGTGTGGAGCACCGTATTGATAGGGGCTTGCTGAACATCCGTCGTTTCGGTTCGAGAACTCTAGTCTGTGAGACAACTATCCGTATGCTGCTGTTTGCTGACGACTGTGCGTTGTTTTCACACAGTGCGGATGAGTTGCATCATATGACTAGTGATCTGGCTTCGACAGCGGTCAAATTCGTGCTTACCATCAACACAAGCAAAACTGTCTGTCTCTTTCAGCTTTCGCCTGAGGTGCAATCTTCAATATTACCGCAAATCAGCATTGCCGCTGAAGTAATGGAAACCATCTCCAGCTTCTGCTATCTTGGAAGTGTGATGTCGACTGATTAGCAGATACACAGTGAGCTGCGTATCTGCGTGTCGAAGACAGTGGCGGCATTCGGGAACCCAGAGTACCGTGTGGAACAACCATCAGCTTACCACTGGTACGAAGCTGATGGTGTACAAATTCAACGTGCTGTCCGTTCTTCTATACGACAGTGAAACGTGGACGATGTACCGGCGGGATGTGCGATACCTCGAGCGGTTCTGTCAGCAGTGTTTGCGACGGATGCTGCGCATCGGTTGGGACGACAGAGTTGCTGACAAGGAACTGTTGCGCCGGTGTGGAATGTATGCAGTGGACTGCATACCTTCTCTGAGACACCTGAGGTGGCTCAGTCATGTGAATCGCATGGATTCGACGCGGATACCGAAACAACCCTTATATGGTCAGCTGAGTACTGGGAAACGCCATGTATGGAAACCAAAGTTACGTTATCGGGACATGACCAAAGTGAGCCTCACACGTTCAAATCTTGAGTGCAGGTCATGTGAATCAAAGGCGGTTGATCGGCGTGCATGGCGCGATCCAATCACGGCAGTTGCCGAAGTGCGGGAGAAAGACCTCATATACGCAGAGAAGAAGCGGCAAACACTGATGGGTCGTACTCCATCGATATCGAGCGCATGGTGCTGTAGTACATGCGATCGCGAGTGCCTTAGGCAGGCAGGCCTAGTGAGTCATGAGCGAGGTCACTCGGGACCACTACCGAAGCGACGACGGCTCCTGCATAGAACGTAGGCAGAACCCGCGCAGCGTTTGTAGGCACGCTGCATTGGATTTGCTAACCGCGTGCTTACATGCTAAGTCTCTTTGTTTCAGGTGTGGGTTTGCAATTTTGTCCCAATGCTGTTCTCATATAAATGCCTACCTGTACTCTCTTCATTAAATTTGCACACGTCGCTAAAACCGATAGTAGTTAATTTTGATGCCATTTTTGTGTTTGTGACATTTTCTTAAAATATATTTTCTGACCCCTTGATCTTATCTGATTCTTCTGTAAACAACTTATTTCATATGCTCATTAATTTAAGATTTATATCCCCATTTCCTTATGCATTACTCGATTTATTTCATTTATTATCTTTCACACAAGTGATTGGCTGTTACTTGATATCCCTTGGTGTTGCTGCGCTTGATGTGCATGTTGACAAGGTGCCTACCTGTCTGTTACCCACTACCTCGTCCATACTGGCTCTAGGAGACAGTTGGTCGTTGCTGGATGGGACGAGGTGCACGGTCCTTGTGATCGTGTGGTTCCATGCACTCAGTGTGGAGCGGACTACGGTCCAGTCACCGCCTTGTGTGCACTTGATTCCCCAAATACAGCGCGCTTGTGTTTGTCTCTGAAGGAGTGTGGGCCGGCTCCGTTGAAACATGGCTCCCATCCCCATGCCTCCCAGTCTTATTCCTTCGGGTTTACACTGGATATGGGGTGTGTGAATGGAGCTGTGGGTGGTGCAGCGCAAGCAACCCATGGTCCATCTGTAGGCGCAGTTGTCCTGTGGTGGGCCACAGTGACAGCCAAATCCGAAACCGGAAGCCGCCAACCATGTGTACCACTCGGCGTTGTAGGGTTGGCCAGTATGGTTAGTCGAGGTCGAGGTGAAGCAAGCCATACTAAAGAGGCTTATCAGGGAAGAAATTGAGCCAGTGGATTTAAACATCAAGAACATAACATTTAGTTGACAACACCTGAACGTCAGTTCAGTGGAGCGGATACCCGAAAGGCTACTGGATAATAATTGAGAACATTTCACAACAAGCAATATGGTATGTACATTAATTACAATGATGGTCAATTGGAAAAAATGCCGAAAATGCAAAAAAATCCTAATTTCAAACGGAGGAGGTGATCGATGAACAGCATGTAACGCGGGTTCAAAGCTCTTTGGTAGCGTCGAGCGGGAATCTGGGAGAATGAAGAAAAATAATTCCGTGATACAATCGACCTAAGTTTGGTGGTGACGCAAACACTCCATTGTTTTTGAGGAAGTTGGGTGTTTTAGGCACACCAAAACACGATACGGGAAGGGGCAACAAGGATACTCCGACGAGACAACGCATGGCATGCAATGCCATTCCAAAGACGTGGTGCGGAGTAGTAAATAGAGTGGCACTTTTTGGTCTCCCTTGAAGTTCGTAAGAACATCAATGTGTCAATACAGATAGGCGGTAGTAGGATTCACTGTCAGGAGAGTGCAGTAGCTGGGCTTGCGTTATGCTGAACGGATCGCTGAGGTGAAATCACCGTTGTTTAGGTGAATCAATAATGGCGAGAACAGCTTTGACAAAGCACAACCAGTGGAACAAGAAAAGAGGGAAATGATCCCAATCAAACACAGCGATTCAGCAAGTGTCTTGCGAAGTAGTGGGAGAAGTGAGAAGACTCGTCACAGGCTTGTGAGCGATGATAGCATCGTATGGGACATCATAACCAGGCCAAACTTGACCCTTAAGCCATTCGATCCGGTCGAAGCCGCACGCCTCCAGGGCGAGGGCATACGCGATAGGATCCGCCCGCGCATACCGAAATAATCCAAGTTCATTAAAACGTTTTATCCAAAACGGACAGAATGTGGTGACCAGACGACCGTCGGGACGGAGTACGCGCCAAATTTGGTGAAGTCCTTTAGGCAAACTTTCCCAAAAGTAGAAACTGTTCACATGGAAACAAGCATCCACGGTGTTGGCTAGCAGTGGCAAATGTTCCACGCTGGATAGCCGCAGATTGACGACTTCAGATTTAATGAGGGTTCGGTTGAGACTGGAAGGGTAGCGAAGATGGCCACGGTTAGGTGGGGCATGGCATATGACGTTCCATACCGCACGAATGGATAGGAATAGCAAGCGAGCAAAGAATTCAAAGGCATTCGGAGACGACAGCAATGAGGTTAGATGAGACAGAATGATACAAGGGGCAGAACGTTTGTAATTGGAAAGTACGGAAAATGGAACAAGGTATGAATCAAGGAATTGAGAAAGGCAAAACAGGTAATTGCAATTTCGCAGTGGGTCATGAAAACGGACTCAATATACTGAAAACAAGTGACGGAATCTTGATGTTGAGAATCGAAACAAAGTATGGGTAGCGGTCAAAAATCGATATGCAGGAACCACAGCACAAGCAGTACTGTAGATAAATTAGTGGTAACATCGCAAGGTGGCAGCTGATCACTGTGTAAAGCACACTATCGCCTCCTATGACTTCCGTCTGTGTACACTGACCTGCACGTGCTGCCTGTCGCAGAGTACGGTCATTAAGGGATAAACGATTTACTCGACAAAGCAAGCTCAGCGAAAACGACAGCATGATTGGGTTGTACAAGCCGCCATGTGTATAACTAAGCCACTTACACAACAAACAACCATTCTGCATTCATGAGACTCTTCCTTTGAATCAGTTAGATAAACCCGCTCTAGCATAACCAAATACGAAGCAATCAGCTCATATGCGTAGGCGTCCAAGCAACTGATCTGTTCCCTTGCGACAAGTTAGCCGCTTGCTTCGTCATGTAAACCCGTATCATACTTCTGCTTGCACAATCCCATCCCATTCTTCCCTTTCTCGGGATTTGCCGCATCGGTGTCGAAGAAAAGTAAGTACACTCTTCCGTTCCGCATGGTCTTTGTCGCCCTGAAGTTGTGACCTCTCCGTAAACTGTTGAGCTCTTTGATGCAAGTTCATCTTCTCGTCTCCAGCGTCGCGCTGAGCTGCACTCGGTGCCTTCTGATTACCTACCCTTCAGTACTGACTTCATAAGACTTTTCTCCGAACTTCGCGGTCGCTCCATCTTCCACTGTTCGACGACACTAGATATTGTTTGGATCCACACTACACCATTTACTGATGACTCAGGTAGCCTCCGGGTCCCGAAGACGTAATACCGTTGATAGGTTTCAGCAGTACTTCGGTACGCAGTACCGATGCTTCCCTGCCGCGCGACCACCACCGGTTGCAGGTGGGCTAAGAATACTACGAGCGTCGTCCTGCCCCTACGCAGGCTCGAACCTGCGCCGTTAAATTATAAGACAAGCGTTACCTTTAGACTAAGGGTTGGCTATAATACGGTTTCTGATCTGCCATCCGTTTTTTAAGTGCCTTTGCAGTTGCTCATGCGATGGTAAAATAGGGTGGAAAAGTTCAGCAGACGCAGGCATTAGAGTTCTTGTCTTTCTGTACAAACGCTGCACTGGGCTGAGACCGACGATGGCTTGTTGCGAATCTCCAACAGCATTAAATACGGGTTCTCATGGGTGGCCTTCATCTTCGACAACAGCCACTCAGATTGTTTGACCACCGACTCAGCTTATCCGTCCGACTGGATGCGATACAGGCTGGTTTGTCGATGCGAAAATTCCTACTTGTTTGCAAAGGTCGGGAATGCAGCACTTGTAAACTGTGGGCCATTGTCGGACATCAGTTCTTCCGGTATTCCGTGTCTAGCGAGCTGAGATCTAAGCTTGTTGATGACCGCTTCCGTAATGGTAGCAGTGAGTGGATCGATCTGGAAGTAGTCGCTGTAGTAGTCCACTGCGAGTAAATAGTCTTTCCCGTTGTCACAAAACAAGTCCACCGCTACTTTCTGCAATGGTCGACCTGGAACCTCACGTAGCATCACTGATTCTCTGACTTGTCGAGCATCGTGGAACCGGCAGGCTGAACAATTTAAAGCTTAATCTCGTATTTGACTGGTCATCCCGGGCCTGAACATCAGTTCTCGCGTTCTGCTAATGCAGTAGTTAATACGCAAATGGGCACGATGAACGTGCTCCAGCATCTCTTCGCGAAGCGACAGTGAAATCAAAGTGCCATTTACTTTGAACATACACCGTAAGTTCATCCCGAAAGCTGAAGAATGGCGTTAATTCCTTTTTGAGGTTGTTCTTTGTATCTGGTCATCCACACAAAACCACGTCTAGAAAAGTCACGCACGTCGCGTCTGCTTCCGTATGACGCCTTAGTTCTTTCAGGCGACCTGTAGTTACCGCCAGATGTTGTACCAGATTGACTGTCTCAAGTTCTTCCTATCGATGTTCGATTATTGGAAGATGAGCTCACGACAGAGCATCCGCGATGAACAGCTCCATCCCCGGGGTGTACACAAAGTCCAGATTGTATTATTGGAGCCGCATAAGCATCCGTTGAAGAGGTCGAGGGACACTGCACAACAGCTTACTGGGTATTGACACGAGCGGTCGGTATACGCAGTATTCTTCCTTCCAAAGGCGTTGTCGTTAAATCGCTCCATCGCGCAGATGACGGCAAGCATCGCCTACTCGATCTATGAAAACGCTGTTCTGTCACCGTGAGCGCCCGACTTCGGAAATCCAAGGATTTACCATTCCGCATGAGAATGACGCCTATTCTGCTCTGGCTGCTGTCACATTGCACCTCCAAAGGCAGAGCCTGATCTTAGTAACCGAGTATTGGTGCATAACTAACAAGATGCTTTATGGTTGTAAAAGCGGCCTCCTGCTCTTTTCCTCATCTACACTTAACACCTTTGTGAGTTAGTCTCCGGATGGGCGCCATGAGTGCAGAAAGACCTGGTAAGAATCGGCTCAAATAATTTACCATGCCATGTAAACGACTGACAGCCTTGATGTTTTTATGTTGTGGCACCTTCTGCACTGCCACGATTTCCCGGGATCGATCTTTATTCCCTCGAATGACAAAACGTGCCCGTGAAAACCCACTCCCGGTTTCCGTAGTTCGAATTGCTCGCGTTCGAGCTTCATGTTTTTTGAACGCAGCGCTGCAAACAGTGGTGCAGATTAGCGTCATGTTCCTGTCCGGTTGATCCATAAATCAGCACATCGACTGCTACACACGTTAGGACTTTGAACGAACATGCGTCCTAATCGATCATCTGTGAACACGTTGTTTCGCCACCGTTCACAGTTACATGTTGCCACACAAACGTGTGTTCACACTCATTCGACCCAGATTCATCAGCGCTATCCAGTGCACTCCATCTTTCGGATCAAGCTTGTGTGGATCGCCTTTTATCTCCACATTGCGGTTTTCGCACCATTACCGCCAAAACATAAGCTAGGATTTTTCCGATTCACAAACCAGAGAAATATTTGTGGTCACAAACGAAAGTCAACTCTACACATTTCATCTGAGGAATCAGCAACCACAGCTGTGGACCGATGATTAAAGTAGCAATCCTATCCGTATCGCTCAGTCGTTTTGTTTGCAACGTGAACGATATAGCCGCTTAAACCTGCCTCGCCTGTGCCAGACGCACAGGACGTGACGACTTTAGACACGCAGACAATTCAGCGCACACGCTATCGGAAGGAAACCATAAGCGCTCGGGCCTCCAGGGGAATTCCATCGATCGACGCAATGGATGGTGGTAATCAATCAAAAGCTCATGTTCACGCATCCAGATAGACAGTAGTTTGTGGCCTTTCTTCATGTCAGAAAAATGTACGAATGGGAATCCAGTGTAGAAGTTGACAAGGCAAGTTCCATCGCAAACGTTCCAAGCTCGCAATGAACCAGTTGAAACTACACAATACAGGCAGCAGGAGACCTGGTGTTAGCGAGACAATACGCGACGAGAGTGGACAGCCGATCCACAGATTGTCAAAACGCTTGGAGCGTTGGGCCGAACACTTTGCAAGGAGGTTAAACCAATCTGAGTTATCGCTTCCACTTTCGGACATTGAGTGCGCATCTCCATGGGCCGCATCCTTACATCCGCACTCACGCGCAGAAGTCGAACCGCTGAAATCGCATAAGACCACTGGTGCAGATAGAATTCTCTCGGCTCTCTACAAATTTAGGGGGACTTGCTTTTGTAGATGACGTCCACGAGTTGCTAGTGGAACTTTGTGAGCAGGAAACTGTCGTGACAGAATGAGGCCGCTCCGTCATAGTTCGAATTTTCAAGGGAGGCTCCCGTTCGGAATGCGGCAACCATAGAGGGATCAGTCTGATCAAGGCTCCCTTTAAAATGGTTGCCTCTGTCGTTTTCCACAGATTGACTGACGCTCCTGAAGACCAGATTCTCGAAGAGCAAGCCGCGTTGTGTGGAAAGCGAGGCTGCCTCGACCACATCTACATTTTGCGTCAATTGTTGGAGCACCGCCATGTTTATTAGCGACCCGCCACTAACGTGTTTCTCGACATCAAAGGTGCCTTCCATTCGGTGGATCGATGTGCCCTTCGGGACTGTCTGGTGAGAAAAGGTGTGCCTGATAAATATGCAAACATTAGCAATGCGTTGTACGCGCATAGTTCGGGCAGAGTGAGGATTTATGGCAAACTATCATCGCCCTTCAATATCTCCAGCGGTGTGAAACAAGAGTACCCGCTGACACCTTTCCTTTTTAACTTCGCTACTGATGAAGTCAGGGAAACAGCGTACTCTTGACACGACCAAGAAGCTATGGAGCTACTTCCCGGTGAGCGACTTCTTGACTTGGAGTGTGCGGATGACATTGTCCTCATATATGACAGCGCCCAAACGTGCCAGGCTACACTGGACCGATTAGCCCTGGCTGCCAATCGTTTTGGACTATGATTTGCTCCCTCCAAATGCAAACTACTCCAAGATTGGCAAGGACCCACCCTAGAAGTCGGTCAGATATCCAAACACCTGGGACGCTAGATTAGCGCCCGTGGGATCGAAGGTGAGATTACGAACCGAATAGCAAAAGCTCAAGGTGCTTTTGTCAATCTCCGCCACCTGTGGCGTAGACGCGACATCCCTCTAACCCGGAAAGGCAGAGTTTATAATGCAACCGTCC